AATCAAGACAGCTTAGTAAATAGCTTTAAAAAAACCCTGTGATATCCATGTAGATAATTGAATGGGAAAAATCCATCCACAGCAACAAAAATACATCTAACAAGAAATGAGTAAGAACTCTGTGAAGTAACTGCAGAGATTTCCTAAATGCTATGAAGGCACTTGAACAATATCTGAGACACTCCGTGTTTGGAATTAGAAGATGCCCTATTGTTATCTCTCTCTCTCTATAAATATATGTGTGTGTATGTGTGTATTGTTGCCTGTGTGTGTGTGTGTGTATATACAGATATATACATATATATACATATGTATACACATCAGTTTCAATTAAGTTCCCTGTAGGAGTTTTTATGAAATTGACGACCTGATTCTAAAATTTACTGAGGAAAAACAAATACAGAAAATGTATCCATAAAACTAAAAATAAAAACAATAGGGGGCAAGTCTAGGAAATATCAAAATGTAGTATGCAGTTTTAATAATTAAACCGTGATACAGCACTGCAACAAATTCATCAGAGGACAGAAGATTCAAAACATACAGTCAAATTAACCTGGCACATCAGAAAAGTGTCATTCCAAAACAAGTGGGGAAAGAGTTGTTGCAGTGTTGCTAGAACAACTGGTTGTCATTATCTAAATCATATTTCTACCTTTTACTAAATATAGAAAATAATATATTCCAAAATTATGTTGGTAGCTTAGCAGCAACTAACAATGAATATATTTTCACAAACATACAGAAACTTTTAAAGAAAAATATTGGGGTGGGGATGATCTACCTGTGCAAGAGCAATCCAAATACCATACAGGAAAAGATGTATCTATGTACATATTTGAAAGAAATTGGAGTCTGGTAAATTTAAATATTAATAACAGATTTGGGAAATATTTTCTATATAATGAAATGAACTAAAAATCATACTTGACAGGAGCTTCTATACATCAATACATTAAATAACTCTTATGGGTTGAATTGCATCCTCCTTAAAATTTTTACATTGTAATCCTAACCCCGGGTACCTGAGATGTAATGTCATTTAGAGATGGGTGTTTACAGAAGTCGTCAAGTTAAAATAAGTTCGTTAAAGTGGGTTCTAAACCGGTAAGACTGGTGTTTCTATAACAGGGGAATATTAAGCACAGTCACACATAGAAGAGACTGTGAAGAGACACAGGGAGAAGACAGAGATCTACAAGCCAAGGAGAGAGTCCCAGATCTGATCATTCCTCTGAGGGCCGCTTAATGAACCAACTCTACCGACAACTTGATTTTGGATTTCTAGCCTCTAGAATTGTGAGAGAAAATTTTTATGTTGTTTGAGCCACTCATTCTGTGGTTATGTTGTTACAGAAACCCCAAGAAAGTAATACAGCAACTAACCCAATATATAAATGGGGAAAAGACATAGATAATTCATGAAGGAAGAAATACAGGTAGTGATAAAGTTATGCAAATATAATCAATCTTTCTAATGAGATGACTGCACATTGTATCAGGAAGAAGGTATCATTTTCCATTCATGCCATTTACAAACATTAAACAAAGAAGGGAGACAACTCCCAGCTCAGGTGAATGTGTTGAGAAGAACATAAAAATATACTTGTAATAGAAGTATAGACTAGAGTAGCTTACAGACGGCGATTTACTACCACCTATGCACATTAACGTGTCAAATTTGGAGTGAAATGTTTCCACTTTAGGAAGATAAGTCATAAAATTTTCAGGAAGAAATATGTGGGACCACATATGTGGAATTTTGTGCTTTTTAAGAGAGAAAGAAAAATTGGAAACACCCTCAGTGCTGTGGTAAAATATATTAAAGTATGTGCACAATGGATTTTAATATGTATGGATATGGAAAAAAAACTCCCAGAAGTACAAGGTAGTTGCGCAACAAAAATGTAAAGGATCATATTTTTTATTTTATGTTATGGGAAAATATAAAATGAATTATATTATAAACATGCACTCATTTGTAAATGCAAGAAAATCTGATAAATGCTAACCAATGTTTCATTGGTGATCAAAGTTGTCCCCTTTTATGAAGATCTTGAATGATTGAACCTAGGGTGATGCTATCAACACTTCTGACTATTTTCCTGGTAAATTATATCTTCTTCATGGTTTTCAGCATGTTTACCAGAAAATAGAGGGATTTGAATTGGTTCACTTTTCCTCATGAAGTCAATTGAAGGCCAAATATGGTCATGGAATTAAAAGTTGGTTATAAATAATAAGAAAGGCAATACTATTCATATTTGTATTAAATGGAGACAAATAAATGACAAATCCACCACAAAATATATGTACGTATAGTGAAGGAAGAAATAATACACAATAAATTCTGTGATGGGTATGGTTGACATTTAATTGCAATAAACTCCTAACCAGTAAGTACGTTCTTACATCATGCTGGCTAAGACATTGGACTCCGAGGGCTGACTGATATATCACTTCCAAAAGAGAAATTTGTTCTTGGAAGTTACTATCCCTGTGACTCAATATCTTCAACTGTAAAAGAGGGTTAATACTAGTGCTTATCTCATGGAGTTGTTCTAAAGATTGGATACGGAAATATGTAACACCATCTTGCATGTAATACATTGTCAATGCATGTTATCTAACATTGTGATTTATTATGGTCACTTAAGGTAATTCTGGATATGTGTTTATTGTCACATTCAGGAAACACAAATTGGGGCATGAAGTAAAGCTGAATGGTTAGAATTAGATGAAAATAAGCCTGACCGTTCTTTATTTGACTGTGCTAGTAAGATGAGAGGAAACCTGAGGCATTCATAACTATCTGATTACTGGCTGATTACTGCTTGTTAGTGAAAATATCCAGGCCAGGGAGAAATATTAAAGCCCTTAACAGTGGGGCATTCCAATTTCCTTTGAACAAGAAGAATGTGAAGATTGCTCAAGACCTACATTTCAAAATTTAAACAATAACAAAGAGTTTTAATAGAAACCTATTGTAGATGACACATTTATCATTACTAAGGCCATTAATAGATCCAGGTTCTTTATAAGGCTGCAAATTTATCAGATTTATCAGAAATAGAAATTTTATATTATATTTTTAAAATTAATTACCTACTATACGTTCAAAGCTTTGCATAAATTGCTTCATTTAACACATAATGATCTGAGGGAGGTCAGTGTTAGTATTGCCTTTTACTGATAAAGAAACTGAAGATGAGAGAGTTTGAGGCTGTTTTCCCCAAAGGCTTAAATTTAAACTTGTTAATGCAACTTCCATTGAAAAACTGTTGATCCTATGCTCTCTCAGTGAAGGGTTGTGTCCAAGGGTTGCCTAAGCCAGAAACAAGCATTAATGAATACAGCCCTCCCCCTACGCACAGACAAAATATTTTTAAAATTATATATTATTGATTCAATTTTGCATGTTTTGCTGAAATCAATCTAAGCTTCCCTGTCTCCACTGCTTCTAACCTACTTTAGGCAGCCTCAATTTTTTCCCCTGGATTATTGCCAGGGTAACTTCCGTTTTCCAGGTTTTCCCCTCCTCCAATTCACTCCCTAGGTTTAACCAGGAAAATATTGCTCAAGCAGAAGTAGATCAGACAATGTCAGTCCCTGCAAAACCTTTCAATTACTTCCCTTTGTTTTCAAAACAATGCACAAACTCCTAACCATTGCTTAAGAGTCTTGCATAATTTTGTTTATGCTTTTCACATCCTCATTTCAAAGACAAACTTCCCCACTGCCTAATTAGGACTCCAAACCATCGGACACTTATACACTTTATTTTTAATTCAGTAAGCTTATTTTCATTAGTATTTACCCCTGCTTTCCCACTTAATGTAGCTAATTTCTACTTATCTTTCAAGGACCACCTCATGTATTTTATATTACTTTCTCCAGGAGGTTTTCCCTGGATAACCAAGTCTATGTGCTCCTATTAATTATTTTAACCTTCTATAATGAGTTATAATTCTGAGTTGCACTGGCAATTATCTGTCTCCTTACTCCTCACTCCTTAAATAGAATCTTAGGGTAGTAACATAACCTCTCTGAACTCACTTCTTTTTTTTTTTTTCTGAGAATTGCAATCTGTCTTATCTTCTTGTGAAGATCACAAGAGAAAAATGGAAAATTATGTATGTATGTATGTATGATACTGAGATAAATATTTTAAATGGTAATTATTAACAAGTCTGTTCAAATTTCACTATATTTATTGACTGATCTTCATAGATGTTTTGGTTTTTTTCCCAGTAGCTCTTTAATAGCAATAGAGACTCTTAGACATGTTCAGCAAGGATGCCTTTTCTTTTCTTTTTTTTTTTTTAAGAATTTATTTATTTCTTTTTAGAGAGGGAAGGGAGGGAGACAGAGAGAGAGAGAAACATCAATGTGCGGTTGCTGGGGGTCATGGCCTGCAACCCAGGCATGTACCCTGGCTGGGAATCAAACCTGCAACACTTTGGTTCACAGCCTGCGCTCAATCCACTGAGCTACGCCAGCCAGGATGGATGCCTTTTCAATGTGCTTCCTTCCCTACAAACCAGCAATGAATCAAGGCCCCCACGCTTTGTTCCGGCTCTACTGCCCAGTTTGCCCCCACACCCATGGTCAAAACCTGTCTCTGTCTTCGAGATACATTGGCACAGATCATAGTTGTTGCTGTAAAACTTTAAGAATATTTGAAAAAAGTGTGTTGACGTCATGAAAATGTCTTTTTCCTGAGAGGAACCTGAGAAAATATGTTATACATGTAGAAAATGTACAATATTCTTCTGGAAACTCTCTATAGCCTGGAAAGCCTTCCATGCAAAATAAAATCTTTGTTGTAAACCTGCTTGGTTTTTTCCATTTTCCCCCTTTCGATGAAAGAATAGGAATAAAACAGTCTAGTAATTAAGGTTTCAGTCACTCTAGATTTTGCTTTAAATGCGAGGGCTGGTGATGATGACTACTGTGGAAGCACTGGGGGGTCTCACACCCATTCTTTCTGTGTTAGACAGGACTATGAAGAGCTACAAAAGCAACTGAAAGAAGTCTTTAAGGAGCGAAGCACCATCCTACGTCAGCTGACAAAGACATCGAGAGAACTTGATGGCATTAAAGTCAACCTTCAGGTGAGATAAAAACTAGTTTTCCCAGCAGCAAAGGATGAGAAGTCTCTCGGTTAGTTTCAGTAGATTAAAGTGTGTACACCTGCATTTTTTTTTACCAGTTTTGAATATGTTTCTGGGCTTGACCATAAAAGTGATTATTTATTATTATATCAGCTTTGAAAGGAAATGTCCATTGAAATTCAGTCTTGGAAACTGTGGTTTGCAAATACAGGAATAATGCAATTGTGTGCTTGACAAAGCCATCAATTTCTCACTGCTTCTAAGATCAATTTGACCCCTGTGTCTTTTATATTATGAAATGATGAAAAGTAATTATCAAGAGTTGAATAAATATAGGCATGTTCCCTAGAAAAGATTTTTAAATTCCATAAAGATTAACTCTGAAGATTCTTTAATAAACTTTATTACTAAAGTGGGTAAATGCCTTAAAAGGAAAGTGTCATATAAAATGTATTAACCTACTCAGTGAAATCTCAATTAGAAAAAAAAAAAACAAGATCTCTATAGGATAAGAAAAATTTTCTAAACTACATGATATTTTAATATTTAGCTTAAACATTATATTTATTGAACATATAATGTGTACTAAAAGCTTTGGCCGTTTTATGAAATTTAATTTTCATAATATATTTATGAGATAGATACTGTTTATGTGATTTTTCTTATTATACATGCAGAATCATGTTTTGAGAAGATCATTTATTTGCGAATGTCACAATGGAAGCCAGAGATGAAATCCAAGCAATTCAGCTCCAGAGTCTGTGTATTAGTTATTACAATGAACCATGTTGCAAAACCACATGTAGTCACCATTGTCCACAGCTTTTTAGTCCCCTGATGATAGTGATGATGGTGATGATGGTGTCAGTAACTACTATAGCTTGTCAAGCTATAGTCAAGGTCTATATGGTCAAGGTCTTATGTTAGGTACTCTTTCTACAGTTTTTAATTAATTTTCACCTGACAACTATGCTGTTTATTAGTAGTTTCATTTTGAAGGTGAAAAAACTGAGTGGTTAATAAGATGTCAAGAGCACAGAGATGTTAGTTGGCAGAGCTAGTATTTGAACTCAGTGCCAAAGCCCTTGTTCCAGAAGCTATTATATCTTGAGAACATTAAAATGAGAGGAAAAAAACACCACCTCTCCAGTAGGACAGAGAGTCAGGCACCTGGATAACTGCAGGAGTAACAAACAGTGCTGTGGTAGAAGTATTCGCAGAGCAGTAAGGGAGCACTGGTGAGGATGAAAGGGGAGTAACTGATTTTCATAGGAATCTGATGCCAGAGCTACACCTTATCATCAGATAGAAATTCACTGGTTATATGAGGCTACAAAGAGTAGCCTCAAGGCACCTGCACCTCCTCAAAGGATGTAACACCTGGCATTTTGAGAATATTTCAAGCATATGGTGAAATGCATATGGGTGGTCACTGTTCACAATATTCCCAAGACACTCAGTCTCTACATGCCAGTAGCCTAAGTTAAGACATCTAATTGCAATTTAGAAAACTGGTTGATAAAAATGTATATCATGGAGTTACATTTTTGAAAGAGTAAAAATCCTGTCCCTAAAAATATAGTTCCAATTTCAAAGACACCTTTATTTTAGTTTGTGCCAATTATTATGTAAGGTGGTTTTTATTTATTATCTTATTAACCTTTCTTAACCACATCTCTACAAAATTAAGATAGTATTATACTCTTTGTACAGTCAGGAAACAAGACTCATGTAAACCATAAGAAATGCCTGAAGTCATATATCTAATAAGTGGTGATTCCAGGTTTCAAAATCATAGTAACTCTATAAACTACTGTATGTATTTTCCCCACAATGGGATTTCATGGAGACATGAAGACATGGAGACTTTCATGGAAAGTCTTGTTTACCTCTGTAGTCATAACATCAGAATGGGGTGGTAATATAGGTCAATTGAGAAACATTATTTTGATTCTATAGTAGGTCCATCAACCTTCATTGTCCTTTAATGAGCCACGAATATTTTCCAAGAAGTATAATCCATTTCTTCGGTTATGGCTGAGGAAATAACAGGCAAGTACACTCCAGATCTTCTGATTAGATTAGCTGTGCTGACACACATCTGAGTTTCTACTTCCATTTCTGCATCTCATGTTTCATTTTTATTGAATCTTAAGTTTCTTGAAGACAGTACCCTGCCTTTTAAATCTTAGTTGCCTTCAAAATGTCCAGAGTATAGCAACTAGTCAATAAATTAATAAGTGTATTTTTATTGCACTTTTCACCAAGTGCTTTTACACATCTATTATCCCTTTTGAGTTTCTCTTAGCTGTCTAAAGTAGGCTCTCCAAAACTCTCATCCCTGTTTTTTGCATAAGGAAATCAAAAAACATCTTTTTATGACCTGCTCAGCCATATGACCATGATGTACTTTGAACTTTAAATTTCAGGATTGGTGACTTTTCCCCACACTGTACTTTCTTGTCATATTTTCTTGGTATTTTATGTGAAGCCACTCTTCCCAAATAAGCAGAGCTTCTTTTACTGGTTGCTTGCAGATAAAAGCTGGCATGTTAGGGAAGAACTTCCTCATGTGAAATTCAGACTACCGCATCCGCACCAGAATGTTTATCTTACTCCATGAGTATTGTCTGTTTTTAGCATTCGATTAGAAAATTTATAAAGGCAGACCCCATGCCTTTATACCTCGCTTTGAATAATTCAAGATAGATATTTGTTAAATAAAATTTTAAGTAAACAAAGTATTTGCCATTCTTGCTATTGTCAATTTCCTATCTGTCACAGCCTCTTTCTACAAACAATATTATTGCCTGTCAGTTTCAATTCTTAAAATCAAGAAAAGTAGGTTACCCTATTAAATAATTTACTGAGTAGAAATAAGAAGGTTCTTAGGGAAGGTTTACTGGGGCAGACTCTCTAATAAGAAAGCTCAGTGGGCTTTTCTGATTTAATTCATGGTCTGTGAGTGCTGAATTTGCCAGAGTAAATAAACTGTAATGACTGAGGTGGTATTTTTTATTCTTACTACCCTATCTGCTCAGACCAGTTAATTTTACATGACCGTCATTCTTTATATTCTCACACATTGCTCATAAATAATAAATAGACAATTGCAAAAAGGCGAATGCTTTTTGGCTGCTTTGATCTTGAATTGTATCATTAACTCATTCAGGGAGGCCTTTTATGTCCCTTATATTTCTGGAAACTATACCAGAGCTGGTTTAACATGCCCAGAAAGGACACAGTAAAGCTTCAAATAAAGAGAAGAAGATGTTTTTTATATTCACCTATTAAGACCTACACATCCCCACTGAACCTCTGAAGATTCAGACTCGGTTCATTCCCATCACCCACTTGCACCACTTAGAGTCCTGAATTCCTGTGTGCATCCTGAGAACCAGGAAGGCCAATGTCATGGCTCTATTTGCATGTTCTTGTCCCTTGGCATAAGTGCTGTCACGCCTTTTGCTATGCAAACAAAAGTAAAGTGAACCTCAATTTATCACTTGAATATGACTTCCTTTCCTTCTTTTTCTTCTTAGTCTTTGAAAAATGAAGAGAAATCTGCCAAAACTGATGTTCAGAAGCTTCTGGAAATAGGTCAGAAACAAAGGTAATACTGTGCTTTCCTTTCATTTTCTCAGATCTTTTTTTCCATAATGTTTAACTCTATTGAGAAACTTCATAAAAATCAGTTCATTCTAACTGTGTTAAGGTATTTAACTTCTTACAGTTGAATTCATGAGAACCTTGTTTAAATGCAGATTCTTATACAGCAAAATTAGGGTGGGGTTTGAGATTTTGCATTTCTAATAAATTTCATTGTGATGGTGATACTAATGCTGCTTGCAGGCCACAATTCTAGTGTTTAAAGATCTGTAGCACTTTCCTGCATTACCTGAGATGGTCCCTGATAAGTCTGCCCATCAATAGACAGATCCAATAACACCAACCTCAGTGGGTCAATTTTTAATAATGCCAACACTCTTTAATAATATTGTGGTGATAATGATGGGGGTGATGAGGAATGGGGTAATCTTACTAACAATATAAATAGAATTAATACAATGTAATTAGTGTTGGTTTGTTTATTTTTGAAGGAAGAATATGAGATAGATTTCTATGCAGTATTAAAACTATATGATATGAAATTGCTCTGAAAGAAAAAGGTACTTTAAGGTAGAAACAAACCAGCATTTATTATATGTTTCCTTGGTGCTTTGCTAGATGCTGTATGTACCTTTTCTTGTTTCACCCTTACAATTACCTTCTAAAGCAGGTATTATACTAGGAAATTGCTGCTTGAAGTGCTTAAATGGATTGCTGAGAGCTGTGCTAATTGGAATTTGCTCTGCTGTGTTCTTACACAATAGCCTACCCTTTCACTTTAGTTCGCTGATCACACAGCAAAAAGCAGTTAACAGTTTACACACAGTACACTTTGTAGTCAGTCCCTTCTCACCTTTTTATGTTTTCTCCACTCTTCTTGCCTCTTGACTCAGAAACCTCTCATCTGCCTATATTTGGATTGAGCTGATGACATGTTAAACTCAAAGCTATTGTCCTATATTGATTATTTTTATTATTAAAATAATTATTGATTGAACATTAACTTTTTTCAAATTCAATATTAAAAAGAGCTTATAAATATTGATGTGAACATGTTTCCAAAAGTATATAATGTAAAATTATTTTATTGGTTTGAACTTAACTACCCACTTAACGTACCAATGCTTAATATTATACAACTACTTGAGGCTCATTGAGTTATTGTTGAAGAATTATAGGCAGCACTTGAAGTAGAAATAACTAGTCAAAATAGACCAAGAGTCACTGAAAATGATTACTTTTTGTTCAGCATTCCACAGTGGGAGACAAAAATATTAAAATGGAAGTGACTTTTGTCCCATGCATACACAGCACTGCAGACAGGGTTGCAGTTGTAACCAGAAAAGACACCGGTGTTCAGGCTGCCTGTCACTACCAAATCCAATAAGCAATAGTGTTACAGAACAAGCAAGGGGGGGCCTGGGACGATATACTATTATTGAAAGAAGGCCCCAGGTCTGTTATGTCCGCCGCCAGAGGAAAGACGTCTCTCAATGCCAGAGATTTGTGAAAAGGAAAGGAAATGTTTATTTAATGCTATACAAACTTAAAGTAGTGACCTAATGTCTTTATCAAAAATCCTAAAGCCCCTAAAAAATACCCACAAACAGACACAGTCTTTCCTTCCTTACCCCTTTGCCCAGTCCAGAGTACCGTATCTCAGGAAAGGAAATAGAAGTCCACGGCTCAGGCAATCCTCTGGTTCTTCCCAGTTAGTACTCCATCTCAACTGGGAGACCTCCCTGGGTTCCCGGCACCCTCAGCTAAGTCGCCGGGATCTCTATTAAAACCAGGTGGTGGTTCCCCCTTCTAAAGCTGCAGGGGTCCCCACTCTGGCAAAGGCACGTGGTCCTCTCTCCCAGGGCCACGGGAGGGAAGAGTCCCCACTCTGTCCAGGCCGCGTGGTTCTCCCCCAATGGCTGCCGTGTCTGGGTTTAAATCCCCCGCGCCAATCTTCTTCTGCAGCCCCATTTCCGACTCCTCCTACACTTGGGCACACTTGCCCTCAATTTGCTGTCTTCTCCAGCTTTTCTGGTCACCATCGTGGGTCTGGGCAGGTGTCACCCCATGTCATGGAGCCAATCTTCTCCCAGCTCCCACGCAGGCACTGTAACTCAGGGGACCTGCCCCCCAGGTCCTATCTTGGGGGGAGGTCCCTTTCCATCCCCCCAGCCTTGAGCATGGCCATAGTTATTTAGCATATCTAAGTGACCAGCCAAAGGCTATAAGTATGCTAAATGACCATGCCATGGATTAGCTGCAAAGCTGCCCTGCATGTTCTTGCTCTGTGTGCCCCTTCCCCCAACTCACACCTATGGGGGGAGGGGTGAAGACACCTTAAAATCTCCTGGACACCTTGAGTTCTAGACCCCATTTCAAATGCCTATGGGGGTCCCCCCTCTTGGCTTCACCCTGTAACAATAGCAATTCAATATTTTATGGGCACTTTATTCAGATGGCTGGTGATCCGAGAAGATTGTGGGTTCATACCCTAACAAATCATCTTCCCTTCTCTTTCCTGGCCAGATCTTTTATAAGGCGGTGGGGGAGGACAAACAAGATGCGATGAGGGCTTTGAGATTCAGAAGCTGCAATATTCCTGTCCTGGGCAGTTAGCTGATCCCAAGGGGTAGGGGTGGTCGCCTGCTCTTCCTGTAACAAAGGTACAGATGTGCCCAGGCAGATGTCCCCAGGAAGTGATCTTCTATCAGTGCCCCAGGAGGTCGGCTACTTTTCCCAGGAGCCAGGGTGGGCCTTATCTATAGTTTCTGAAACAAAAAGCTTAACATACAGATTACTTGCTAGATTGACAGCTTTTTACCTTAAGCTAAAATTTTCCATATCCTGAGTCCCCTATCACAGTGACTAAGGAACAGAGTCCGTCAGAGAAAATCAGAAAATAAAACTGGATACTGAGACAGGAACAAAAATGTAAAGATTGGAAGGAACCCATGTTAGGTAGCTCCATAAGAAAATGATACAAATCTAAAAAGTATTTGAGGGGGGTTATTCTGCATTGTGCAGGGTAAGAGGAAAGAGACATAGACCAGGTGGAGGAGGGGTGGCTGAGAGAAGAGGACAGGGAGATTTCAACAGGGAGGGCCCCGGAGTGAGAGGGTAGTAACGCCTGCTTTTCCTCACTGCAGGAGAAGCAGAGAGGAGGCAGGCGGATGCGCGATGGTGATAAGAAAGAGCCCATTCCTTCAATTTGCTAACATCTTCATAAATTATTTTTGGCTGTTTCTATATGACACACGAAGTATGCAGGCAAACCAGGAAAAAATGTGGTTAGGTTTATTAAGAATTTCTTAATCAACATCTATACGTTTTGCACATTTTAGATACTACCAGATGATGGGCCAAGTCTTTCAATGAAAGAATTAAATGGAGCAGATATTTTGTTATTCCAATTTCAAAGCTGTTTTCCCAAAATTAAAAAAAAGACTTGTTGAAAATGAATACCTTGTATAATGTACACAAAATCAGAATGGAAAATTTAATAAATTCTAACAATAAGTAGTTTCTCAAAAGGATATGACATTTTACATATTAATTTATGTTGTTAGAAATGAGTAGCAATCATAGTTATCTCAATGTGAAGATGACTATGTCTCTCATCCCCAAATAAGAAATACTAATAAAGAGTAAAAGAAAATTATGATATTAGAATATAAAAGATATTAATTGATTGCAAATGTAGAAATTTCATGAGTCAGAAAAAAATATAATGTGTTGTACATTCATTTAGCTATACACCCAACTATCAATAGTCCTGGCCTTCTGGTAGCCTTGCTACCTGGCCCTTTTCTGGGAAAGTGGTCCTTAGATGTCATGTTTTTCTTTACGTGACTGACATTACTGGCCACAGTTAATTGGTTCAGAGGTGACCATCAAAATAAAACTGAATCTGTTAGAACTTTCTCTTTTAGAATTATAACCAAGAGGCAACTAATCAGTATCTCTGTGTAGCTGAAACTAGACTAAACTCAGAGGGTGTGTGGTGGCCATACACGATCGTGTGGAGAGAGCAAAGAGTACGTTTCTGGCAAGAGAGATAGAGAAAGGAGTGTGTGTTTATATGTGCTTGTTTTTATATGTGTGTATGAGGGAAAGAGGGTGGGGAGGGAGAGAGAGTTTGCCTCGACTCTCGAGTGTTACCTTTTAAGAAATGTTTAGACAGCCTGGGTAACATTGGCAGAAGAGTCTGCAGGTTGATGAAGAGATCTTAAACCGTACTATGTGATGAGTGAGTGTGTATAACCACATAACAGAGACTCGAGGGGGCAGTCCCCTACAGATTCTGAAAGACTGTTGAGAAACAAGTTAATATAAAAGCTTTTACTGTCTCTAGTGGTTGGTGGGTGGAGATTCCTAGCAGGCAGTGGTGGACTCTGTGTACTCAAGGATTTTCCAGTACAGCATTCTCTGAAGATGGAAAGAATGCCTGGGGTAGTAGCAAGTTCTCCATCTGTGGTGTTTTTATAATACAAGCTGTAACCACTCTAAAAATGCCTTCTTGTGGAGTGATTGGGGGTATGTATGTGTGTTTGTTTATAACTGGGGATGGCAGATGTATGAAACAGCTGTCCTTTAAAATTCCTTGTAACCGTTCCGTTGCATGAACAAGTCAGGAATCATCCTTCGGAGGTGTATAAATGAGCAACACTGAGAGACAGAAATACGAGGCCACCCACAGCCTCAGAACCATGAGAATGTGCAGAAATAATCCTAGAAGGCAGAGGAGGAGGCAGATTCAAAAGATTTGAAAGACCCACTTTGACATTATCTGATAGCTTTTCTTGCTGTGAAAATGTGCAGACTTCTCTAACTTTTTTAGTTGCTGCTTATAGCTTGTATAGCTATTTTTGTCTTTCTCCATACATTGCCTATTGATATCAGTATGTGGGAATTTTAGAAGATATACATGCTTTCATTTTTATAAAAATATGTTTTATAATTTAACTAAACTATAGCATTTAAAAATAAAAAATAAAATCTAAAATTAATATTAAAATGATAATCATAACATTTCATTATAATTTTTAATCAGTTGGGAATATAATGGTTTGTATTTTAATTCAATGCTTGTTGAAGACTTAAGTGTTAGGGATAATATGTAAATACTTCTCTCTCTCTCTCTAATGATTCTCTACAGTTTAAGCACATTGGGTGAGAGTGCAGCTTGTGGCCATGCAGGATGTGGTGGTCAAAGAATGAACTTAGGGACCCAGAGCAGTGCCTGTGGTTATGACAATGATCTCAAATTTTTAAGTGATGATTATTTTCCAGGCTTTATACTAAGCATTTGGCTTGTATTATGTCATTTAAATCTTGCTACAAACTTATGAGGTAGTTCTATTATTGTGCTCATTATGTAGATTTAAAAAGTTACTCGGAGAGGGTACCCTCCTAGCCCCTAAGGGTCTGTATTGTGGTTACCCACCAAGGTTCCAGATGTAGTCTTTGGGAACTAGACTGGGAATTTTAAATTAATTTTGTTGTTGTGAGACTAGAAAGGTTTCTGTTTAAAAGAATTTATTCCCCGAGCCACAATTAACAGACACATGCTCACTAACTGGCATACCAACACTTACCTGAACTTTTTGATACAATAGCTTAGGTGATAAAACTAAGTCACTGAAAGATAATATGACAATCATACACTTTACAAACTATTTTCACCAATATTCCTGGTGCCCACCTGTCAACATACATAATTATTAAAATATTATTGGCTATATTCCCTTTGTTGTACTTTAAATATCTGTGACTATTCTCTAACTACTGATTTATACTTTTTAAAAAATATTTTATTTATTTATTTTTAGAGAGAGGAAGGGAAGGAGAAAGAGAGGGAGAGAAACATCAATGATTGGTTGCCTCTCATGTGCCCCATGCTGGGGACCTGGCCCACAACCAGGCATGTGTCCTGACTGGGAATCAAACCGATGACCCTTTGGTTCATAGGCTGGCACTCAGTCCACTGAGCCACACCAGCCAGGGCCAATTTACACTTCTTAATCCTTTCACCTCTTTCACCACGGTGCTGTATGCCTGAAACTAATATAAAATAATATTCAATGTAAATATAATTGAAAAAGAAAATTTTAAAAAGATAACACAATTTGTCATAAATTGTTAAAGTCTAAACTCTTCAGAGGAATGCATATTTATGGAAATATTTATATCTTTAACAAGTGAGAGGGTCAATATGTATTTTTGAGTTTGAGCAACAATGTTTTTGTATATGCAGACAAGTATTTATTTTATTATCCCCAATAAATGAGGGAACCCTCAAGTTAGAAGTGTCTTTTTTCTCTATGTTCTTACAAAAAGTCTCAGGCTTTATAATGGATGTCTAAAGCACAATGCTTTAGAATTAATCAATTAGAAGCATCAGAAAAGAACAGTAATTTTACCTTATTTGCAGTCTATTGTAACATTTTCCCCAACTAACATGTTCACATCTTGGCATGCTGTCACTAAAATTAGCTTTTCAACACTAATTATTCTATTGATTTAATTCAACACATTGTGCAGCTCACAGGTAATTCACACAGTGGGATTCTTATAAGACACAATAGCAAGGCAATTTCCTTGAAATATAGCTTGCTTTTGATACTTGCATGAGAGAAAAAACCCTTTATTGCTAGAATCCTGGATTATACCCTGAGTGCTTAACGATGTCTCTATTCAGTTCTTGTTATCTGTTTCCCAAATGTACACAGCCAGCAAAACCTCCTTTGATAATGTACACAGGAAATAACAGAATTATATTATGTCTCTCTTGTGCTCTATTTCCTACTGAACTAGAGAACAAATGAAGTCTCTCCAGGAGGCCCTGCAAAATCAACTGAAAGAGACATCTGAGAAGGCAGAGAAACAACAGGCCACTGTGAGTGTGTTTTTTTTTGTGTGTGTCCTTTGATTTGGCACTGGGAAATTGTTAAATTTTTTTTTAAATCACCACAGAACAAATATATGTGTAAAAAATGAAAGCGACTCTACAATAAAGAAAATACAGTCATGAAGGACATAACAATACTTGATCAGCGTTCATTCCCATAACTATTTTTGTTGTATTTGATTCTTAGGGGACTTCTAATTTCCAACCCTCACTTATGGATGAGAAATTGAGGGCAAGGGGGGTGCAAGAGTGTAGGTGTCAGGCCCAACATCAATGCATCGGCCCCTGAATTATGGAGGGTAACTGACCTTGGAGTAAGTGAAGCTGTGCAGATCCCTAAGCCAGATGCAGCATCTACCGAATAGGAATCTATCAAGTGAGGACATACCATCTACCTATTTAGTCAACTCCACAGGTGATTCTGATACATCCCAAAGTTTAAGAATCAAAATTCCCTCCAGATTTTCATTTTCAAATAATGTTCTTTTGACCCTGACATTTCAGTTCTTATGACTAATACCCACCGTAGGGAGGAGCGATGGTGCTCATGAAAGCAGTGCTAAAAATCAGACTTCTGCCTTATCTCCAGAAACTTTATGCAACCTTTATGGGGAATGGGCCTTTTATCTTGTGTCCAGAACCTGAACCTATTTAAAAGCATAGTCTATTGACAGAAAATTTGAGTTATTGTAAGACCAACAGGAAATGACTGCCATTGAAAAGATAGATTATTTCTTGCAGTGACAGGGGCCACAGGGAAACGTTGCCCTGGTCACAAGGTGGAGGGAGGCAGGGGGACTGTGGACAGCAGTTTTCTCTGTGGTTTCTGTGTGGAGGCAGGGTAAGCGGTCTTAGGAGTGACTGTTAAAGTGATTTCCTTGGTCTCTGGGGCACATAGATGACCCCAGCTTATCTGGTAACCTGGCCCTGAGCTGAATAGGGCGGGTGCCTATAGAATGAAGTGTGAGAACCGATTACAATGGGGCGTGGGCTTGTGAGTTCTGTACTGCTTAGTCAATATTTGAAAAGTCTACCATCAGAAGGAAGATACTTTTAGGGGGTCGAAGAGGAAGCAGCAATGAGGAAGAAGGATGTTAATGTAGGATTAACATGGAGTAAAGAAGGATGTTACTCCAACAATATTGGGTTGTTCATACAAGGCTTGTTTTCATATATGTGTAGGGCAGATGCTAAAGCAACAAATGTATATTAGTTACAAACATGATTAATACAGTCTCCATCCAAGTCAATGACCGGGGATCCCAGCCCTCTAAGGACTGTTAGGTTGCCTTTCATTTGCAAGACTTCCATGAATAATTTGGATCTAGGTGTGGAGTTTTGCTTCCGAAACTCAGCCTTGTCTCTTCAGGGACCCCTGCTTCCTGAAGGCAGTTGATCTAATAATGACTGTTGACTTTGCCAGGTACAGGCTTGTTTCTTATTAATGGATACACTGGTATCTGTTCTGCCCACTTGTAAGGATAAGCATTTTGGTTCTTCTCTGCTGTGCCATGGCAGCTCACTGTTTGCCTGCAATGTATCCTAATGCCTGGCTCTCCAGACATCAGGGGTTACATAAAGATCAGGCAAACTTTCAGTATCAGCCTATGGATCTCTGCCCTCAGCCCTTGACCCACCCTACTAGTAGGTCCTCATCTCAACCCCATTTCTGTCCTAATCTGTCACATTTAATCTAGATTTATTTATAGCCTGGTTGCAGATATGACAGAACAAAACAGAAGTGCTCAGACATACAATTATCTCAGATCCTAATAATACAACTACCCATTTATTATTTTTTACTAAAAATAACACAGAAAAGGCAACTGTCTTGCTTGTATTCACACAATGCCAAGTCATGAACCCACGATTACTCCGTTATGCAAACTGTTCCTAACCTCTAAAAAGAAGAGGGTTATAACTTTTAAAAGAGCACATCCAAAGTTAGAACATGAGAAACGTCATGGACAACGGATGCATTGCTGGCCAGAGAAAGGAGGCAGGGCTGGCCCAGTCACCTTGCCCTCGTCTGAGCACACTTATAGTGCCTTTTTTATGGCTCAACATTGAACCTTGTGGGAGGGGCTACCCTTCCTACCCCGAAATGCTCTACTAAACCAAAAACTTCCTAAGTGGATTCATAACATAGCTTGTGCTCCAGAATAAGATTATTCTGGTATTAAATTCCTAGTGGGCCATCTACTAACTATGTGAATTTGAACAAGCTCTTTAACTTCTCCAAGTTCCCTTATTTTCAGAATTTTGGGAATGATTCAAATGAAAATAACATATACAATTTTCCTAAAATTACATCAGGCATATAGGAAGTAGTAAGCATTAAACACATAACATTCTCTTTTTTTCTATTTCATCTACACCACTTCGTAGCTGAGTAAATATAAGAAATTTATTTTATTTCTCAGGCTCTTTTATTATTAAAAGTGTGTTGGTGCTACTTACATAACAGTTTATTTGGTTATTATATGATCTGATGCATGCAGAGGGTTGAACAGAGTGTATAATCAATCATAAGCAACTTCAAAATTGTATCAAAATCTTACAAGACTGTTCTTTACTTTGGGGTTCAGGCACTTGCTTCTGCATCTGACCTACCTGTTACAGATTGGAAGTTCTAATAAAACCTGCCTTTGATTAATTTGCTAGAGAGGCTCAAAAACTCAAGCATTTTATATACTAGATCACTGGCTTATTATAAAAGGATATAACTCAGGGACAGCAGATGGAAGAAATGCAAAATGCAGGGAGTAGGGAAAGGGCATGGAGCTTCTATGCTCTCCTAGTGCACCACTCTCCACAAGTCTCCATGTGTTCACATCAGAAGCTTCCTGAGCCCTGTCCTTTGCATGTATATGGAGGCTTTATTGCTTAAGTTATTGGCTACACACAGTTAATTCAGTCTCTTTCCCATCCCTAGAGGTCAGGAAAAAGGGACTAAAGCTCCAGTCCTCCAACTGTAGTCCCTTTCCCCTAACCTGTGTGGATGGGAGAGAGACTGCAGATTGAATCAACTGTAAACAGGCCCCCATCCTAAAGTGCCATCCAAAAATAGTTAGGAAATTATAAGGGTATTAGGAGCTGTGAACCAAGAACTACAGACAAACAGAATATGTAGATTTCTTATTACAAATCACAGTATCATCATGAGTTACTACCATCATAATCATTACTATTACTATTTCTTCTTTATACCCATTTAAATCCTTTACTATCTATTAATATCACAGTAAGATGATCAGAGATGAGAGAAGAATAAGTACCTGAAGAAAAGGAAGATTAAAATAATGTATATCTCGTTGTGTTTATAATTTAGAAAAATCTTTCCTCATCTCTGCTTATATTGATGTTCAAAATAATTTTGTTATGTGAGTTGCTAGTATCTGTTCTGAGAAGCTGATTTTAAATTGTTTGAGATGAACCTGGAGTTCCCAGAAACTTAGGGACATTTTCTTTATGGGTATCAGACACTTTACCTACTAGTGACCAAGAGTCATTTTCACTAATGACTCCTGACTCATTATGACTCTTCACTCTTCACTCATGACTTCATTTTCACCAACAACTACTAAATGATTCAGATGACATTTTACCATTGGTTTGCATTTTCTTAACTGCAGTCTTGCTGTTCTTTGTTTTATTTGCTATTGGTGTCAACTTTGTTTTTATATACCTATATAAACTATATATGTATGTAAAGGTTTATATAGGCATATAAAGCTATATGTGTACATATATGGGTGCATTTGTTTGTGTGAGTGTGTATACATGGAAAGACAGAGACAGACATGGGAGGGAGAGGATCAGAATATATTTCAGGACAGGATTCCATTTTATTTATTGTATCTTTTATTAAATAAACACTGAAAAATAAAAATTGTCAGATGATGTGTAAACCTTCAATTAGAAATTAAGATCTAGCTATAACTAGGTAATGGGAAGTAATGCCAGAGGAATATCTCACTCCTCTCTTAAAGCTAACAAATGCTTACACCCATGCCACCATCTGGTGATGAAGTCAGAGAGTCTATGCATTATTATTCTGACAGTTCACTGTAGGGACAAAATTTCCAAATGACTTCAGAGGAAGTTCTACTGGAGCTGGCCTAATGTGTAAATGAGAAGTTACTATCTTGGTCTTTGGTCTTTGCCAGAATTTATAAAAGGAGACAAAAAGACGGAAAAGGAAGAGCCGAAGAGAGTACATTTCAGATAGCTTTAAAGTCAGGAGGTTTGTTTCTCCAATGGGAGCCTCTTATGTGGTTGTATTCCCCTTAAGAGAATTATCTACTGGTGACATTCTGGGACAGAGGCTGATAAAAACTTTACAATATCTATGAGAAGAACACTATAGACTTTTATTTATACCCCAGGGAATTAAAGATCAGAACTAGGAAATAGGCTGGTCTCCCTTTCTTACACAGATAAATGTCCACTTTCACCTAATATTGGACAGCTTAATGAATTTCTGAAACTTCACAGAGCAGAGAACTCGTCTCTTGATATCCCTTCCTGACTTCCATAGACTTAGTGGCCTCACATGTGGGACCCTAGTATATGCTATTACAATAACCTATGCATACCTGCTATCGCCATGTCATCTGCAATATAATCGCCCCTTTGTGTATTCCAGTAGGGAAAGGAAAGAAAAACAAATACAGTTTCATAAATCTGCTGTTAAAAACAAGGTTTTTGACAGTAGTCTATCTTCATAACACACACACACACACACACACACACACACACAAACATGATAAATAAACAAGAAAGCAATCATCGTTGACAATGCTCTACAAATATTTTACATGTTGATAGCTTACAATAATGTATTCTGAAAACAAAAACCAAAACAAAATATTAAACAGGTTCACTTTGGAGTCACTCCTCTGGAAAACTGCCTGAATACATTACATATTCAGTTCTGAAAAACAAAGAGTTTATTTTTTAAATAATACCTGGGAGAACTCTTTTTT